AGAGGACAAGGATAGATCAGATATCCGGGGAACTTTTCATGGAATGTCAATATGTATTTCGCAGAAACGTCGATATCCGCTAGACCGTGATCTAATTAAAAAGGCAAATATCTTCAATAAATCAGGGGAACGCAACGAGAATATAGTTCAAAGCCGCTTAAACATAACATTGTTGAACGTATTTTAGTATTTAAACGGTAGATATAGGCATATTTTTATCCCCTAAAAATTTTTCATCTGTTCGGATTTCCTAGCTGAAAGTCTAGTGATCCGAAAATTATAGGGATNTTGAAGGTGATGGGCGATGTGATTCTTTCCCTCAAGACGGTCCGAGAAATGCCATATATATGACAACGTTTGACGAGTGTTTTGCATAATGTATGGAAGGTATGAAAGCCGTCCCTTATGAGCGCGGTGCAGACATATACCAGGGTGATAACTGAATCGAGGAAGCTTGGAAACTGCTGGTAGATAACCTCTCCTGAAAGCACCGAGGCAATGGAGGTAAGCTGGATTAAAGAAGAGTTAAGTCGGAGAGACTGCCTATAAACTATGTTTGGAATAACAAATTTAACTCCCATGAAATTTTCAGTTAGTGGTAGAAAGGCGTAAATATCTCCAAACGACCACTGAATCGAAAGCAGTACACGCTACAGACTTGAAAAAAAAAGGAAACCTTCCAATAATTCGAAATCTTGGAATAAAAGTCTTGGAAAGTTAGTGTTTAACAAGCAAACTTCTTTCGCGAGAAATTACGAAAAACGATGCTGATCTTTTGTTTCACTTGCCTTGTTATTCAGACATAACTTCTCAATATTCCCCTTTCATCGACCAAAATACTTTAAAATGTATTCCACCAGAGGACAAGGATAGATCAGATATCCGGGGAACTTTTCATGGAATGTCAATATGTATTTCGCAGAAACGTCGATATCCGCTAGACCGTGATCTAATTAAAAAGGCAAATATCTTCAATAAATCAGGGGAACGCAACGAGAATATAGTTCAAAGCCGCTTAAACATAACATTGTTGAACGTATTTTAGTATTTAAACGGTAGATATAGGCATATTTTTATCCCCTAAAAATTTTTCATCTGTTCGGATTTCCTAGCTGAAAGTCTAGTGATCCGAAAATTATAGGGATCAAGACTTACCTTTTCGACAATTTCAGCCAGAAAAAGGGCCCCCGAAAATTCTAGGTGGTCTTTTTAGGGTAAACATCCGTTAAATATAGGCAATTATACCACTTTTAAGATGTTCGAAAATCCTAGGACAGGCAGGTAAGCAAGAAATTTTACAACAAATGTTTCGAAAATTCTAGATCTCAAATCGTTTTTCGAACAGATATTTTCCGAGAATTGACGTTGGGTGCCCCTGATAAACCAGGGCCCAGTTGTTCAAAAGCTGGATAACACTATCCACTAAATAAATCTCTATCCAGTGGATAGTGCAATTGGTTTCCCTAATATTTATTCGTTGGATAGTAATTTATCCGGTGGATAGTGCTATCTAGCGTTTGAACAACCGGAGCCAGGTTTAAAACAGATATATATTAAAAAACTGACTGCTTTTAGGATATAAATAGTCACTTGTTTTTTAGAGTGAATACATCAAACGTAACACACGACAGCGCACGCAAGAGCTGTCGTTTACTCGCTCGCTTGTTTCGTCACTTCTACTAGAAGAGGGTAGTCGTCAGAAGTCAAGTCATATTTCGCCTCGATAATGTTCCAAAACTCGGCCAGAACTAACCATTCCCTACTGTCCTCTGTCTGAGGGCAAACCACTGAAACTTAGCCATGATCTGAGTTTGCACTGATGGCTGAACTGTTTGTCTAGAGAGCAGTTTGCTTTGGTAGAGCTTACGGTACCCTGAAGTAGCAAAAAACAATCAAAGGATTGGGGGAGTTTTTATTGCCACGTATAGGACGGTGAATTTGGAGTTGAAGTCAAAAGTTATAACTCAGCCTCACGAGTTAATGAGTTATCATTTTCTGTGTTGCTATTTCCTGCTCGCAGCTTAAATTCGTGGAGAGGCAGGACACACAAATTGACTCAGCAAAATGTATTTTTATTCGAGTAGGCTCGACGTTTTACGTTTTGTTCACAAAATCTTTCAGACGGATAGTGTCAAGCGATGTACAGCGCAACATAGCGGACGTCGTCCTCAACAGAATTTGCACTGCCTGAGAACGTTTGCTAATACGGAGAACTGAAAAAAAAAATGGGTACTAAATCATAAAAAAGACAGTCATAATATACGAAGCTCTTCTGAACAGGCTTACGTGCCACATTTGGAAACCGCTGACATACACTGAAGCTGCGAAGATGGAGGAGAGTGTAAAGAACAGCGTGCAATAAAGAAAGGGTTTACTGACAAGGTGTCTAATTCAAATTTTTTGTTATTTTAGATAACGACTGGCAATTGGGAGAATGGAAGATGCTTTACCTTATATTCGGAACAACATCTGACATTTCAAAGTGCGCGAGCCTACGGTCCTTACAGACCGGCTGTTCGCGGATTATTATAAAGCATGCGCAATAATAAGGATACCCGTAGTGGACATGCATGCCCAACGAAAAGCAGAAGCAGGTTGGCAGAGCATACAGGAGAATACTACACATCAAACCAGTTAAAGAGGGATCTGAGCCAAGGTATGTGAAGATTTTGCACGATAAATCATGAAATATTTCTCAGGTTCCTTCATCGCCTCAGTATACCTTTAACATATACGTCTTTCGACAGGAAAACAACACGGATTGACTCGAGTCAGTTCCAATAACACTAAATATAAAAGGGAGCAACCGCGACGAAGACGTCGACAAGAACGCAAAAAAACAATTAGATTTTTAAGCTAAGCAACAGTTCTGCACATGAGTCCCACTGTTTGGTAGATTTCTTCGACGTCGAGTGCACGACTGCGACATGAAACTTCCCAATGCAACGTTTCATAGAGGACGGGAATATTCCTTCCTCTTTGTCTTCTTAAACTAGGTTTCAGAACTCACTTAAAAATTCAACTGCAGGAAAATTCGTCTGCACTTGCCATTTTGAACGTGAGAAAGTAAATTCCTTTTATTGAGGGAAGGTTATCGCTGCCTTCGTGTCAACGTTAAGTCTCGTGTTTTAGTTTCATTACAAATCAATTTCCTTTTTCGGAAAGCATGACTGTTCAATTAATAGCATAAAAAGTGAAGCTTGCAACTCACGAGTATCGATCAGTAAATGAGGCACATAAGATGCACGTACCTCCCACGTTTAAACGCCACATGACTCTGATCATCAATTAATGGCACAGCTGTGCTGGGGTAAAGAGCTTTCAAATACTACTCATTTTTACCCGAACAATAGCACACGACCAGACAATCGCACAGCATGCATCGAGCTTATACAAAGGTCTAAATTTCACAGCTATATTCTTAACGTGGGCAAAACACGGGAACTTTAGTTCTGTGCCAACAAAAGGAAAACTGTCTACACAGCATCATCTTGGACCCTTATTTTTAAACTAAACTTATACTTATTGTTAAGACGTTTTGAAATCACTATGAAAAACAACTCAAGAGCTTTAAAAGACAATCACAACAGGGCGTGTAATGCCTTTCTAGTCTATTGGCAATATAATTCCTGACGTGTACTCCTCTTAATTGGACACTCCTGTTGTGAGACTGCCGTTAACTCTTGCGGTGAAACAGTTTTGCTCGGACAAAAGGCATATTCCGAGCAACAAAACCACAAGATACGCTGGTTGCCCATCTATTTTCATTTGCCCCACACCCATGCAGAATTTATTTTGTTGTCAAAATTGGCGCACGACATTATTATTTGAACCCAGTGGTAATTTGGCGTTTATAAATTTGGGTATTTGGAAAGGTAAGGACGACCTAATAAAAAGTACTTACCGAGTTCAAGGCCAAAATCTTGATTTTATCTGGTGAGCGGACTGGGGAGACTGCAATATGCTTGTGAGGTTAACTTCGCTTTGAACTACTACAGCTGATTTCTTAATTTCGTTGTTTTCTTTCCCACTTTTTACTAAAGTTAGGTGTACGTATAGGTATCAATCTGATCAATCATATTCCATTGAAGCACCCCCGAGTCAATAAATAATTATTAATACATACAAAATTTTTACAAATGCAGGTTGCAAACAAAGTCCAAACCAATTTTTGAAATAATTTCGATTTTTTAAAATAGTTTGCTTGGTTTTTCTTGTAGACTGAAGATGGCTGAAAAGCAGGTAAGAGCATCGAAGATCGTATTATGCTTTTCCTTGTGACGACGACGTCAAATTTCCCGACAAATATTGATCAAAATTTATATCGTTGCACTAGTTTCACTTACGTCATACTAGAGAGGTTAATAATATAAGATTTAACACAACAGGAAATATAAGCTTAGTAGCATCATCTAAAAAAGGTTTTAGTTTACAGGGATTTTATTTGTACTCTGGGCGGAGTGTGGGTTTTACTGCCTCACGTTATAAAACAACTCTGTAAGCGAGGTTACAAAACACAGAAACATATCAGTTACCTCAACATATTTGTTGTGATATTCAACAACTGGATCGTTTTAGCAGACGAATTAGACAAGGCTATTAACTCCTTTGAACAGCTTAATAGGAGGCACTCGAGCGGGACTATTTCACCGCTTTAAATCAATATTTTAAATTCCTGTTTGCAATGTTTGTTTCCTTTCCGGGTCTCTTGCAAGGTACTGTTTAAACTGTTCAGGTTTTTACTTCGTGAAACAATTAATACATTATTTTTCAACCTACAATGTGCTATATCTGGCTACGGTTGCTGTGATGTACGGCCACGCTTAAACATCTATTTATCTTTGTGTACATGTCTCATTGACGAGCTTAGAGAAATAGAAAAAATACATATTAAAACGATAACATGGTGGAAATGATTGTGAATTGCTAGATCACCCTGTCAAGGTACATAGGGATTTGCATCTTGACTTCTGACTTTTGGACAAAAACCTTTGCAAACGATGTTTTTCGCTCTTTTTCAGAAAAAAGATGAAGAAAAGGACAAGGAGGAAATAGCTGCTAGGTAAAAAGTAAAAAAAATCTAACGTATAAAATCATTGATAGTCCGATTAAACACATACCGTAATTACCAAGCTCGGCTACAAATAAGGGGTGTGTTGCTTTCGTTCGTATATACTCGCTACTCGTATATACAAAGGCCCATAAATGTTACTCGAACTCTGCCTTTTTTCTATTTCTAAAAATCCTCTATTCCTGCCCTTAAAAAGAGAATATTGCTATTGGCGCTTCTTTTACACTTTCTTTTACGCTTTCTCTGAAAATGCTCTTCGCTAGCGAAGTTTCACAAAAATATCTAAGTGGAATTTCGAGATATCGTGGAATTTCTACATAAAGGTTATTTGATTTTATCGGTGTTTTCGTGAAAGTAGCCTCCTAGTTGTAAAAAGAGCTCAGCATTGAATTTTACCCTGATACTTTCCTGTCTTTCGAAATCAAGCAAGCCTACCTGTCTACAAAAATACTGGGTCAAGCCACCTTAAAAAAAAATTGGGCCACCTGTCTCTCTTAAAGTAACAATTTAAACTCCAACTATAAGACGAGGGAATCAATCAATCTGGAAGAGAGAGTCAGGTTTTTTAAAAACCAAAGAGAGCTAAAATATTTTTTAAAGCCTGCTAGAGACACACCTATGCAGATGATACATTGGGGAGAAATCGAGTAGTGTATCAATGCAAATGAATTTCGGCCCTCAATTGAAAAGAACAGCATCTTTTAGTGTTCCAGGATAGTTAGGAACCTTTTCAATAATTTTACTAGTTTTAATTTATGAAGTTAGAAATGACATGTTCCATTGAAAACTTTTGATAGCAAATAAACTCAAGACTCAAAAGTATCCAACGCCCCAAAATGCTATAATATCGAAAAGGTTCAACGCTGTTCATAAACCTAGAAAGAAGCCACCATCCTAAATTAGACAATCATTCAATGTTTCAAACTCCTACAAATACGTCGTAATGCTGTAAATTTCTCAATACCAGAGGAATTCTCCCTACACTGTATAAGCTTGGCGATTTCTGGAGGCCTTCTCGCCATCTTTATTATATGAGCTGTTCGAAACATTTCCTTGCACACTTTAACCGTTATTTCAAACCTTTCCCAAATATAACTGATATTTACTCACGAACTTAGTGAGTCAGTACGCAAGAAAGACAAGAAAACAAATAAACGAATGAATAAATCTGTAAATGGCTTGCTGCTAGGAATCAATCTGATATACAAAAGCAAAACAGTGAAAGCTTACTTCGCCTTTATAATTTGGTGTTGATTAGTGAGAATGACGTCACGGTAAGTGCTCAAGATCTTCAAGCCGCTCCAGATCCCGGCTACCATCACGAGGTAAATGTTTTTATTGTCTTCCTTGAACAGAGCATGTCATTCTGGTAAATCTTCAGTGACATCTAAAGAAAAACAATTTTGATTAAACAACATAATCTTAATGGACTTTATATCAAGACAGTACACCTAGCTGCAAGAAAATATTTGGGCGCACAATGAGCTTAAACTAAACGATGATTTTGTGTTCAATAGACTTGTAGCACCCAATCCCTAATGTACCCGTCTGTATAGGCGTACTTGAATTTTATTTTAAAATGTTGCTCGCATAGTAAAAGGAGCATTAGAAACACATGTTCCTCGAAACATTTAAGGTCATTAAAAAATAATTCCAAGTCCAAGTCGAAAATTCCACTCAAATGAGGAGGTAACAAGATTACAAGTTTGGTGATCCTTTGCAACTTTAGAACCAAGAAGAGTTTGCTCAGTCAAGGCTGAAATTCTCACATTAACGACAGTTTAGATCATTTTCAGTCAAACTTTGTCAAACACGGCGCAACGGGCTATAGAAATACTAAACACATATTAGGCAAAGTCATGTGACGTAGCCATGCCCATCCTGAATGTTTCTGAGTCAGTCATGAGCAGTAAAACTGTGATAAAAAACATTGTGATTTTTTCCCCTTAGGAACAATACACTGATGGAGGACGTTTGGTGCGACAATGCACGGACCTAGGTGGTGGACATAACCCTGTTTGGTAAGAAAGTCCGAAATGCAAACAAAGGAAATTTGTTCCTAAACCAAAGTCATTTCTAAATACTAACTACTTTTGAATATCTTTCCTTCTAGCGGTACAGCATGTCTAAGGGTTCCTACTGCGCCAGAGGTAAGAGTACTAAAGCTAGGCAATTAACTTTCTTATCAAGACTACGACATTTCATTAATGATAAACTGAAGATCTTTACTCACTTGGGGTGGCCAAGCAAACGCACGATAGTGTACGATATATAGTGGACTTCGAACAGGTTTTCGGCGGCCATACCCGCCCGATATTTTTAGCTATTTTTTTAATCGCAATTTCTTTCCTTTTTCGCTCGCCACAAAATTTTTAACACTGACTTTGGACTGAATTTTGTCAAAATTTAAGAGAAGTGACTTGCTAACATAAACAGCTCAAGCTGATTTAGTTTTCACTTTTATCTCTCATAGGAAAACCAGGACTCTGATCCTACTGTGTTAGCCACTTTAATTACTCTCTTGTTTTTGGTCTCTAAAAGATCATATCTGTTAGATTTTGTACACGTTTTAATTTATGTGTTGTTCAATACTGTAAAGTAAAATTATATAAAGAAAACGTTCACTTCCTAGTCGTGCAGTGATAACACAGTAATGCAGCAAAAAGTGTAAAGAACATGCAAGGTTGTTGTGTTGCTTATTAAACTAATTATGTTTTTGACATTCTTGTTGCCGTGACAAGTTAAAATTCCTCACATGTAGTACAAGTAGTGTACAAGGCAAGATACTTCAATAGCACCAAGATAAAAAGTGTCTAACGGGACATAATGCGATATCTAAAGAACACATACACATAAAGAAAAAATGGATATACCTAACTGACTGAGAGGAACAAATTTCTTATTCGGGTGTATAATCAGTTAAAAGAATCCAATCAGCTGAGAAGAGGTAAAACACAATTTTAATCCCCCTCTATTTCACTTTTAAAGGCCTGCCAAGCAGGCCAGCGAGCCAGCCATGTTCTCAATCCACTTAGTAAAAGATACAGATGGTTTCCTTGACATACATTTAGTAACGCACGCTTCAAATGATAAACTCTTTCAGCTTCCTAACTAATCTTACTACAGTGAAACGTCGATACAACGAAGGGTTAAGGGGCTGGTTAAATATGTTTGCCATACCTAAGTTTCGTTATATCGAGGTTCATTTCCTGACTGGGACAAGGTAAATTCTTCGTTCTGCCAAGGACTTTTGTTAAATAAGGGTTCGTTATTTCAGTCCAGGTTTCTCGGTTCTGAAGTAAAGTAACTTAGAGGATGTGTTAAAAACACGCCCAATACGGAACTCAGCCACGCATGTTGATGCAAATAGCCAACTCGCCAGCATCCCCAAGGTGTAACATCGTACAAATCGTAAAGTTGCTTTTACGATCGGAAAAAGAAGACTGATTGCGTCCTCAGCTTTTAGTCTCCACAAAATCGACGGACTAAATTTCTTTTACGCCATTTCTTTCTGACTTGTACTATACGTTAAAAAGTACACTCTAAATCGAAAATGTAGATGAAAAATTCAAGGAATTTGAGTCTGTTTTTCTCGGAACTGTGTTTAAGACACTATTAAGATTGACATTTCTTTTTTCTTGGAAAAATTATACATGCAGTCTCCATGGCAACTCCAAGTTAAACAAATCGAAACATCACCACAAGATGTATTATTCCTAGGAGGTCGGAAAAGCTCAAAAAGCAAAGGTTTGTGGCAAAAATACCACGATTTTCAACTGAACTCTTGATGCCTATTATGCGGTTGGCAACTGGAAAAATGACTACGACACATGATAAATACAAGAATAAAGACGGAGTATATAATGCTATAACATCATACGATATGGAACGAAACATCAGTAAATGGTAAATTCCTCACCCTTTAGGCAAGTTATCATAAACCTTGACCGATCTTAACAGGGACAGAATTATGTCAGTAATGCGCCGTCATAATTCCACGTTTAAGTTTATACAATTTCTAGCCGGAAAACATCTTCACACAGGACGTTTACTGTAATCGTCGTTAAATATTCTTAAACATATTTTCCATTCAAAAAGGACAATAGTGCTACTCGAATCGATTTACTCTTTTTACCCGCCCTTCCTTTCAGGAAGAGACGGGTATAGTTCTGGCCTGGGTATTTTATTGGTCGACAAATAGCCGTCTGCTCTTTGAGAAGCGCATGCCTGACATGGCGAAATATCACGTGGTCAATTTTCGGCAAATTCATTGGCTTAGAGCCAAAATCCCCTTGACATGTTGTCGAGATGAAACAAGAAAAAGCAGCTTTTTTGTCAGTCGGTGGCGTTAACTTTGTGGTTTTGTGGCCTCTATGAGAGATCGACAAATATTTTGGTGGAATTATTTAGTAATATGTGTTGTCTTGAGGATAATGCATCTTGGAAGTGTCAGACAAACACAGTCGCTCGATCCGTTTAATCGAGATGGGCGTTGCTATCGCTGGTTGCGAGAAGGACGACATGCTAAAAAAAACAGTAAAAAGGTGGGTAATTTTCACTTTTTATGTCACGAGAATTTTTATAGCAGTTGAAGAAAAACTATTGGGCTTTGTTTTGGTGAGTAAGCGTGCACCGAGTTGCACGGAAGCAGCAGTTTTGTAAAACGTATGGACCCTTTTTGTGCTGAATTTCGATGAATTGTACAACTTCACTGTTCGATCTGAATAAACACGTCCATATACGTCACGTCACTGTAAACACCTTAGAAATTTTATGCTTTATAGTTTTTATCGAAAACAGTAAGACAATTGCTTTGATTTATCAATAAAGCATGGTTTGCACCTAGTTGCAGGAAAGTGGCGGTAAATTACCGTTTCGGTGCATTAATTTTCATTCATCAAAGCAAACAAATCTGACTGTTCATCGCAGAAGTTTGTGCTTGGTCCAAGTCTCGTGCTTCCCGGCAAGTCTCGGTATAAAAACGGAAACTTACTATATCGAGGGAAAGATATATTCTTTGACTTTTTTTAGCATATATGGATTAACTTGTATTTAGCTCGCACGGAAGCGGCAGGTTTTTAAAAACGTATAAAATCACTGATACCATTAACAGACAAAGAGAATTATTGGGCTAACAAAGTCTTTCTGTAGACAGCCGTTAAGTATCAAAGTAGGCCCGTGTTGGTTTTATTTAGGAACTCTTCAAGGCCTCTTACATTTCGGTGACATCTTAGATATGGATCAAGCTCTACCTGTGACAAAAAAAATGAACGTATCCTCTGTTCCTAAAGTTTCGCTAAAGTTCTTTTTGGAACAAAAACTGAAAAGGGGAAACTGAGCCGCATGCCTCTTTTAAATATCAATTTCAAACTCCAAGTACAGTCAACCCCCCGCCCGTCAACACGGACACTGAGGGGGCCATAGAAAGTGTCCGTATTAACGGACGGGGCCGAGAGGCAAGTTTACAGTCAAAATTATCTTCTTCTATGCAACGATAGGAAGCAAGAATTACACCATCTGTAAAATCGACACGAGGAGTATCTTTGCAACGGACTGAGGACAGCCAATCAGCCTTTTCACCCTTTTACAGTAAGCTTTGTTTTACAATGAACAGTTTAGAACACCGATAATGTGTGACATGTAGGGAAGCGTTACATTTTGTCAACAAAATCCTTACTGAGCAAAATTTTTCGTTTAAGCTTACAATTTTCATTCAATTTCCTTCACAAGTAAAATATATGTATGTATAGCAGCCTTATACATAAACCCAGCTGTGTCTTTTAAGTCAAAGATGACAAAAATTTGTTATTGCTGGACCCCTATATTTTTGTTCCTATATTATTCGAAAATAACATCTGTATTTCGGATATCCTCAGAATATTAGTGTGTGTCATGGTTGCCATGACAGGAACGTTAATTCCTTTCGCTGTTAGGAAAAAATTTAACAGGTCACTCATAAAATTTTACTCTTTCAAAGAAGTCAGACAGAGGTGACATATTCACAGAAATAAAACATTTGTTCCATTGGCAGATGAAGATTGTTTCAAGAAATTAAACGACATGTAAGCAGATATTTATATAGGGTTTCCCATAAGATCAATCCACCCTGCACTTGACTTTATATTCACGATAAATGTATGTAATACAGGGAAAGTGTTCATTTGACTCGTCTCAGTCTGGGAAATTAAAAATCTATGGCTCTGGCACTGTCTCAACAAGCTCATGCATGTTTAGAATGCAGACCAATGGAGAAACCGATCACCTTCAACATGACTTGTTTGTGGACATTACATACAAATTCACTCTTGCATATGGATTTGTTTCTTATGCATGTACTCGAATAACTATGAACACTTGCCTAAGTGGTAAAAAATTGGTACTTTTTACATGGATTCAGTGCTTTAAGGTGAATACCCACACATGCAATAATCATAAATCATGATCACTTTAGTAATTCTCATGAACTGCATCCTTAATGACTAACACTTGCCTAAGTGGTAAAAAATTGGTACTTTTTACATGGATTCAGTGCTTTAAGGTGAATACCCACACATGCAATAATCATAAATCATGATCACTTTAGTAATTCTCATGAACTGCATCCTTAATGACATCGCTACTTGTCATTTTCTATTTCAGTGATTATTTTTGCACTTTACCGTTACAAACAATAGTTGTCAAGTGTGATTATGTACCAAAAAAAGTGCAAACACTTTTATAGCTGTAGTTCTCCTAACAATAAATTTTTTCTCCAATTAGCAGCATTTAGTTGTTGTTTTCACTGCAGCATTATCTCCTAGAATTGCCATCCACTCACTTCTTCTACTGACACATTTCACAAATAATTATTGCACTTAAGGGTGAGCTTTTATTAAGCAAATGCAACTCAATATTAGCTGGTAGTTATCCACTATCACCCCCATTTCCTTTTGACCATAATTACACACATGTAGGAGGGTCAAATGGAGTGAACATAGGGGGATGGGACCTATGCAGCATTCGCTAACAACAGCAACCCCATTTAAATCTCAGAAGATCCTCTTAAAGCCAGAGTACAGTACTAGGTTCAAATTTAATCCACAGGAGATTAAGTACATCTTAGCTCCCAATATTAGATCCACCCTCCCCAGTTACATGATTTACTTCATTTCTCTCCAGTCCTCCCACCCCTTTATGG